AGCTCCACCTATAATATTATTAATTGATTTAATAACATTTTAAATAATAAATTAAAAATAAAATAAATTTTACATACTATTTCTACAAAATTCCAGAAAAAAGTCTTGAAATTTGTCTACTTTTTCAAGTGGTATGTCTGCTTATGTAAATGCTTTTACTAAAGCGGTATTAATAACTTCACATTCATTTAACCCATTATTATTAATATTAAGGATAGTTTGACGAAGTCTTATTTTATTTTCAGCTTTATATACATTTTTTCTATGTTTGTCTGACTTTAAATGTAAATCTAATGTGGATTTTTTTTATAGTCTAAAACACTTTGCCAAAATTTATAAAACAGTTTTTGATCATCAACATAAAAATTTTTTTTATATTCTGAACTTTCGAGTCTATGCTCAATTGCTAAAATCATAGTAAAAAAAAGATAAATAATCAGAAACGATCAATCAATCATCTCAAATCATGATCTTAATCTTAATCTATAGATCTTAACTGCAGATATGCTATTGATAAGTAAAAAATGCAAATTTTAATAAAATCTGCAATAGAATATGCTAATGCGAAAAATCTTAATTTCTGCACATATTATGCCACTGCAGAAAATGGGTCACCCTACTCTGGATCAATGATCTCATTATAATAAAAGAATATATTAACATACACGCTCGCTTCACTTCCCACAATCCCATAACTCATATCTGAATTTGGTAAATTAATTGTGCCTGCTTTGTTGATCAAAAATAGGTCAAAAATAACACAACCTATTCTTTCAGCAAGAATTTTACCGAATACAATCTCACATGACGTCTATGCTATGATTACTTTATTGCTTGAAGTGAAGCAAGTAAAACAATATTCCAACTTATCTTGGGATAGCAACTTTGCTAATTCAGAATCATAAGGGAACTGATTCCTATTTTCGCAGTATCATGAGCTATGTAATCCATAATTCCCATGTTTCCATCACAAATAGGGCATGGTGAGCTCCATAGCTGAAGTGATGCAAAATTATAATTATCAATCCCTTTGAAACTATTTCAGAATTTCAAGTTTGGGAAGTGCTCTAAGATGGATTCAATAATTAATTCTGGATCAAGTCTGGCCTCAAAAGTGATGGGCTTGAAATCAGAGGTCTGAGGCTTTGCTGATATATTTATCACAGCTTCTGATAATTGCTATGGCTCACATTCAGTTTCTTTTTTATATCTTTTGTCTAATTTGGTATGAATCTTATCTGTCAAAACGTTTGGTAACCACTTAATTTGGCATGCCAATCCAGATACTTAGCGGTTAATATTTTAACAGACTCAGTTATTTTCCTTTTTATATAACTGCAAACAATTTAAATCCCCTTTTTCTTATATAGACCTATTCATTCGAAAAAAAGATTAAAATTCCCAGACTATTGTAAAGCAATGAAACTACGTAACTATCTCAATTTCATGCTGTTCATATTTAATAAAGTAAGATCCTGCTTTATACCTACCTTCTATTTCTTCATCATCATGACCTAATTTGCATAATAGGCAGATATAGTCCCTGCATGATGTCTCATCAGTAATCCCATAATAATCAAAATTTTCACTACTACATTCTCTATATAGATTAGGATATTGATCCAATATCTTGTTGCAAAAATAGAAATGATCATAAGCTGGCTTAGATTGGGATGCAGATGATACACTTGCTTGAAACATGTTTAATGAAATCATTTCTGGTGAAGCATTTAGCTAAGAGAATGCTGGTACTTCAGCTAGTATAGTTTAAGATGTATTTACGATTTTTTGCTAATTATACGACCCATATTCAGCAGTGTAATCAGAGCAGTTGTGTCACTAGTGATCATTTCCGAAGTCACATGACTCTGATCGTGAACATTGTTCACAGTTTTATTGGTGACAGTTAAGTTCACTCGATCTATAATGTATTAAATTTGAAGGTTAGTGAGTCTGAAAATACTATCAGCACTATAGGTAACCCGATTAACCATATGCCATCCTATACCTTTAATCTTTTTCAGAGCTATAGGATCGTAATCATATTCAAATAGCTTATTGATCTTCCTTGCTTTACTTGTTATCTTGTGCAAATATTCATCAGAAATGCCTGAAAGGTATAGTTTCATTTCATTATAAATCTGGGACCTTGCTATCTTATCTTTAAGATTTTTATCCTTGGATCTGAGCTTAATAACCTTATCTTCGAATCTTTCAGAGTAGCGACCCCAAGATAAAATCTCTTCCTGCTTAGTTTTGATCGAATTTTTCCTTACTATACTCGTTTGATAAAATAAACAGGCAAGCTCTTTTGTGACAGGTGAAGAATTAGAATGTTCTCTATTAATAAATTTGGTATTAATAAATTCCCTCTGGAAATCATCTACCAAAAATCCTTGTAATAAGTCTCGTACAATTTCAGTTACTAAGCCTGAATCTGATTCTCTCTGAGAAACATCCTCATTAAGTCTTTCAGGCATTTTTTGCACAGAGTTTTTCAATGAAATCTTTTCTTGATCGTGAACAATGTTCACAATTTTTGTGTTACTTTCATTTTCATCATGATTTCTTAGAGAAGTTTCTGTAACACATGATAAGTCGGAAGGGACAGTTGACTCACACTGAATTTTCTTCTCTTTGTTACGTTGCCTTATCTCATCACTAACCTTTTTCTTATGTGCCTCATCCAAGAAATCATCTGTCTCTTTATCCTCCAATGACTTAGTTTCTGTGCGAATAGGTTTGCATACATTAGAATTAAATGTGCTATCAAATGTATTTGATGGTTTTGCCATCTTTTCTAGTTTATCCAGACAAACAATATTGTTGGGGTTCTCAACAGAGCTGGCATTGGTTGATGATTGTTTGATTTCCTTGATATCATCATCCATTTTAACAATAAGGGTAGTCTTTTCTTTATCTCTCTATTTTAGGTTCGTGAATCTAGCTTCATGTTCTTCTAAAGCATGCTTTAACTTCGCATTCTCAGCCTTGACTTCGGCATTCTCCTTTTTAAGTTCTGTAATCTCAGCTAAGAGCTTTGAATTTATTTCTCTTAATGAATCAATCTCAGATTGCATATTTGATAATATTTTTTATATAAGATGAAATAATTCAAAAGTTCAAATTAGTATAGTAATAGATAAAAAATCATGTGACATTTTTTAAGATTTATAATAAGAATGTAATTTAAGAAATAAAAAAATATGTTGCCAGAATCTATGGCCTACAATACATAAAATTGCGAATATATCGCTATTACATGATGTTTTAAATAAATACTATTTATTCTTAAGTTTTATGAAAATGTGAACTTGATCCTGAACAAGAGGCTTATCGAAATACTTAGAGATCTCTTTGGTTGATTCCATGAGTTTATCTTCAACATAGAGGTCAAAGCCAAGAGAGAGAACTTGGTATTCCTGATTTGCTAATAAAATTTAAATGGCAGATTCGAAAGTGGTAACCTTATCTTCCTTGCAAAGCTCAATTACGAATTTTTTTTTATTCTGCCCATCTTGAAAACTGCACTTAAGTTTGATAGGATTTGTATTGGCCATTTGTTTTCGTTATAAAGCTCCGTATAAGCCGGCTCGAGCTGAGCTGAATTATTTCGGCTCACGAGGCGGGCTTAGCTTGAGTCCAAAATGTGGCAAGCCGAGCCAGCTCGCGAGCCAAACAAGCCAGCTCATATGGCTTACATTATTAATAAAAATCTGAAAAAAAATTTCGAAGTAATTGAAAAGTTCCGGAAAGTGATTTCCTTCAAAAGAAACGTCTCCAAATCGATTCTTTTGAAGCGAAAATGCTTCCAGAACGTTTTTCTTTAAGAATTACGCTCCCAGAGCGTCATTCTTTAAGAAATTCACTTCCAGAGCGTTGTTTTTTAAGAATTTCGCTTCAGAAGTATTTTTCTTTAAGAATTTCACTTCTGGAGCATTTTTCTTTAAGACTTTCACTTCCGTAGTGTTATTCTTTAAGAAATTCACTTCCGGAGCGTTGTTCTTTAAGAATTTCACTCCAGGAGCATTTTTCTTTTAGAATTACACTCCAGGAGCATTTTTTTTTTAGAATTATGCTCCAGAAGCGTTTTTTCTTTAAGAATTACGCTCCTGGAGCATTTTCTTTAAGATTTACGCTCCTGGAGCGTTTTTCTTTAGAATTATGCTCTGGAGTATTTTTTTTAGGAAATACGCTACCAAAGCATTTTTCTTTAAAAAATACACTACCAAAGCGTTTTTCTTTAAGAAATATGCTACCGAAGTGTTTTTTTTAGGAAATTCGCTTTCAGAGCATTTTTCTTTAAGAAATACGCTACCAAAGCGTTTTTCTATAAGAACTACGCTTCTGGAACATTTTTCTATAAGAACTACACTTCCGGAATATTTTTCTATAAGAACTACGCTTCCGGAACGTTTTTCTTTAAGAAATACGCTACCGAAGCGTTTTTCTTTAAGAATTTCACTTTCGGAATGTTTTCTTTTAAGAAATCTGCTTCTGGAGCATTAATAATATGAATTGACTTATAGTTGATGCAGATTACAAAATTTATATTTATTTAGTTTAT